CCAGTGACGGTTCTCCAATCTTCCATAAGGGGGTTTCTCTCTCTTCTCCTTCCTTCTTCCTCTTGTTGATGCCTAGCTTGCTCTTGCTGGATAAACTCTCCAAAGTCCGACAGACGCCAATCAGCCCTCAAAGGTGTTTCCACCCTTTGCCAAGGACCAAGGAAATTTATAGGACATGAGCTAAAGAAATCTTCATGATTTATGGGATGGTAGTTAGCAGAGGTGCATCGACGTTGACCATGCCCAACTCGGCCATAGAGATAACAAACACCTCACCTGGAAGACTCTCATAACGATAGATAGCCCATATGGTTAAGCTTACAAAGTCGCCAACTTTCAGAGACCTCTCTATGTTTATGACTATACTTTAAGTTGAAGGTAATTTTCATGGGTTTCCACCGTCCTACAAGCTAAGTAAGCAGAACCTATATGCTGGCCTCTCTCTACATTTACCATTTCAAAGGGGAGGCTGTGAACTTGCAGCCAAACCTCAATCCTTGTGATCATTGATTCTCGTTGATCTCTCACTTCCCTCCATTCATCTAGTATAAGCCATTAATCGAAAACATACCAGGGTCCATTATCATAGTCATCTGGTTTCTAAATTGGAACTTGTAATAACCTCTATTGAGAGGTTGGACCATGAGGTTCTTTTCATTAACCCCCCAGCTTCCATAGACTTGGCTAATAAGGTCTTGCATGGGGATTGTGGCTCTAAGGAAGACTCTTCCTATCATGCATAAATACCATATTATCCTAGGTTCCTTGGTTATGCTACTAGAAAAGTCGAAAACATCCATGTTTAAGTTGTCATTACGTTGAAGGAGTTAAGCGAAGGTGGCATCTAAGTCTTGAGGTGTTAGACAGTTTATGTACTTTTATTATTTAGTGGAAATAAATAAAGTGCATGTTTGATTCATGTTGTTTGGTTTAATTCTGTGCAAAACCCTAAAACTGGACATTTATAGAGATTCATGTTAGTTTTAAATGTTCACAGCTGTTGGATAAGTCTGGGGAGATTTATCCTGCCAAG